GCGTCCCCCGCGCTTGCCGCTCGGCGGCTGCTGCCGGTCCGGTTCCTCCTCGCTGTTACTCAGGCTGTCGTCGGCCGGCGAGGCTGGCGAACTAGACACGTCCTGCATCATCTCTCGGGCGGCGATGCGCGGCCTCGCGGGCCCGGGAAGAGGAGGAGAGCGGGGCGCTTCAGCCCGCCAGCTTCCCCCGCGCGCGGCGCCGGCCCGGGCGGTACGGCCCGCCGAGGAGGGAGCAGGAGGAGGGACCGGGAGGACCTCAGCGGGGCGGGAGCGCGGGGAGGCGGGGAGGGAGGCGGGAGGGGGAGGGGACGGTGTGGATGGCCCCGAGGTCCAAAAAGAAGGCGCCCAGCGGCCGCACGCACACCCCCGCTCGGCCTCCGGGAAAGGCTGTCAGTGCCGGCGAGCGCGCGAGGTGTCTGGGAGTTGGACGGGAGCGGCAGGCTTGGAGGCTCTTATACCTCCGTGCGGGCGGAAAATTTGGGGGCAGCGGTGTCATTGGCTTGACGTGAGGAGGAGGGACTTTTCGAAGTTTTATAGGAAAGTTTCCGCTTTCCAGCCCCCCCCCCTTCCCCGCCCTCATCCCCTTCCTCAGGGTCTAACAGTTCGTCCTCCCAAACCATTCAAAACCGACCTGGCCCCTCAGCCCGCCTCCTCGCTTCCCTCCCCCTTCCTCCGCCGCGGCGCTCCTCCCGCGGGCGCGGGGCGATTTCCTTCCGAGCCGGAGCGCGTGGGCGGCGCCCCCGCACCCGCGCGCAGCCGGAGAAGCGGCCCGAGGGCACCAGCAGGGCCGCGCTGGCGGCCCCGCCCGAAGTGGCTGTGACAGCAGCCGCAGCTGCAACGACTCAGTGGATGGTCCCTTCTTTCGCCTTCTTGTTGGGGGCCCAGAAGTCGTGTCCGATTCATGGACCCCGTGTGTATACCACTGAGAAGCACTGCTGAGTCCTGCACCCTCCTCACGGGTGTAGCAGTTGGTTGCATCACTTGTCAAGCCATCCTCTTTTTCCTCTGACCCTATGCTTAATCAAGGGCGCTGGGCTACAGGATCTGGTCACTTCTGATAACTAACATGTCCGAACTACATGAGACAAGTACTCTCTTCGAGAAAGCATTCCACTCTACTTCTTCCAGGACTGATCTGTTAATTTTGTTTTTGGCATTTCACGGTATACTCAATATCCTTCACAAGTTCTGTAGTTCAAATCCATTATTCTTTCGTTGGTTTTCCTTGTCAGTTGCATTTCACAATGTATATGAGGTTATTTAAAAGATCATGGCTTGGGGCAGTTGGCATTTTTTGCTTTTGAACACCTTTAAAGCAATCTGCCACTCTTAGAGCCGATTTGTCCAATGTGTTATACCAGTTATTTCTCTGTTGCAGCTTGCACAGACGTTGATTGTGGATCCAGTTAAAAAAAAACAAAAAAAACCAACAAACCCTTGACCACCTCCATTTATCGTAATGTGAGGTTGTATGGGTGTTTTGGTTTGGTTTTTTATGTTGAAATATGATTCATAATTTGATTTTTTACCATTAAGTGCTCACAGGGTGTCAAAGACAAGTGCCCTGAGAGGACCTAAGCTATACGGGGATGCCAAGGCCAGCAGCGGGTAGGGGGCGCTATGGAACAGTAGCCTATTAACATCATGCAATTGGCTAGGCTTCCTTAAAGTGGGTAAACACAGAGACACCCAAAGACTGCTGTTGGGAAAGATGGATGGAGGGAGGGAGGCATTTACACGCGCGCGCGCGCACACACACACACACACACACACACACACACACACGACCCCAGTGAAGAAAGACCCCAAATACGAGTATTTCCATGGCTCTCTAAATAGGAAAGTGGTCTGAGGCTGATGCCCAAGAATGGGAGAAAGTTTCTGCTGATGTGAGACCGTTATCAATGTATATTTATCTTGAAGTTGGAGGTGTATGTGTGAAATGGGAGAAGGCACAATTTTTAGACGTTTCCTTTGGACCCCTGAGGCGCGGGATTTCAGGATTTATCAATCTATTTTCATATTTATGCCTCTGGCACCTTACAGCTAGTACAAGTACTTTGAACTCCCCACGTGCCACAAGCACGGTGTGTCTTATACATATCATATTGTTAATGCATTAAAAATCCTAGTCAATTAGTTAACTAGTCCTGTAATTGTTTTGGAAGGGGGGACAGAAGGAAGCAGCCAGGAAACTAGCTAGATTAGCCCTACCGATGATTGATTCGATGATTCTTCGTTAGCACCCCAATGAACAAGTCACCCCCTTCCAGACCTTTAGGTGGGACCCTTTTTTTAAGATTTGGTGCCAGGGGAGTTGCGAGTGTCCTTGGTCCAGCTCCCTCACCTCTCTCTAAGAAGCTTCTGGGCTTTCCTTTTCCTCTTCACATTTACCTATTCTAATGCCTCCCAACACCTAAGCGGCACACACGCCTCCGAAGGTGCTGGGAAAAGGCACCTTTCTTCCCTGCCCAATCCAATCCAGCCCTTGAGGAAAGGGGCAGAGACGGGTGGGGCAGCTCTCTCTCTCTCTCTCTCTCTCTCTCTCTCTCTCTCTCTCTCTCTCTCGCTGAGCCAGAATCGCCTTCTCTGCTTGTCCAAGGGGAAGACCTTGAGGACATTCATTCTCACTGCTCCTGCAACAAGGCCCTGTCTACTGACCTCTTAAGGTCAGCTCTTAAAACAGTGCAGTGGCCTTCAACAGCGTCTGGACACGCACTGGAGGCTTCCAGTTTTGAGGGCTACATCCACTCCCTAGGAAAGCGAGAGGACAATCATGCAACGTGACACAAATGGGTTCTATTACTTTGACACTGTAAGTATATCAACCTAATAAGTTCAAAAGAAGTCTCTAACAGTGTTGGGCAGATTGTGGGAAACTGGAATCAGCAGGAGGAATAAAGCTGGTTAGCAGAAGAGAAGGCTCTGCAGAAGAGAAATGCATCGCTGAAATCTTCCCTCCCCCCTCTCCCCTTGGAAAGGATAAACATAAAACAACAGTTTCATGTTCAGCCCTTACGCAGATCTTGGCGCCCCGGTTCCGTGGGCCCCAGGGCAGGTCCAGATCTGCCTATAAGTCTGGAGCTGAGAGTCGCCCAGTGAAGACCGTAACATCAGGGAAGCTCCCTTTTCTGGGCCGCCCAGGCTCTCAGGGCTCCAAGTGCCACCAGGAGGAAGCAGGAGCCCAGACAAGCTGACCGGCCACGTGGCTATGCCCGACTGAGGTTCTCGGCGTCGGTACCGGAAATCCCAGGGCTCCGGAGCGAGAAATGAGGACTGGAGGCCTCCCTATTGCGGTGGGCAAACAGATCTGTGTACTGTGTGGTCACGAACTGGGCAACCTGCAGGGTTTCTCCTTCACCATTTTTGCAAAACTGTCCAGAAACAATGATCACGGTTTGCCATCTGGTCCTCTGTGCGAGCCATCTATTCAAATGACAGTCAGTCTGAAAATCAAATTCAACTTAACCTCCACTCATTTCCAATTGCTCCTTGAAAACAAAGCGCGCTCTGATAAATTTCCCCCAGCCCTCACAGTTTGCTTCTTCCTCCCCCAAAGTTGTATCTCTTGGAAACGATTAGAGAAACGGAAAGTCTACCTCGCCCTATATCTAGTGTTCACTTTTGTAAATCTGAATTGCAGAGTATTCTGTGATTTATTTCGAACGTGGCTGAAGAAATCTCAAAAATTGTCCACCTTTTGCTATCTCATAGCTTTGTTTTGCTTTGGCTTTATTTGTTTGTTTGAAGTTGAATCAAAGCACTTGTTTTGTTTTTCCCTTTAGCTAAACTTTCAAAAGTAAATAGAGAGATCGAGTGATTGGACTCTTTCCTCTGTGGCTATGGGTAAGCAGGACAGGAAAGTGTGGGAAGTGTGGGCAAAGTGTAAAAGAAACCTTACCTGACCAAAGGGAATTGGGGAGAGGAGGGCAAGCTAGAGGAAAAACGGGAGTGCAGCAGGCAGGGGTCATTAGCCAGGCTGACTTACAAAATCGTCAATCTCTCAGATGACTTATTTCTAAAACAAGTTAGCCCAGCCCTGCTTAGGTCTTGCTGGCAGGGATGAAGAGCTTTGGGGGTACAGAGACACTCTTTCTAGAGGGACTGCTCCAGGTGCCAGGCTGCTTAAAAGGAGAGTTCAAGAATAACTAATCAAAACCTTTCCAACCAAAGAATCTTACAGAGGGCTCACTGCCCCCCTCCACCCCCCTTTCTTATGGACAGAAATTGTCTTTGAACTCCAAGGCATGAAAGTGTGGAGGATGAGACCACTTTTTGAATTCTCTTCTTAACCAGTGCTCCAATTAGACTTATGGAGCAGCCTGTTAAAGGTAGACAAGAAAATTACCTCTCGATACTCCCTTGAGTTTATGACCAGAATATTCATCTAGAAATGTATGTTGTACCTTAAAGTTTATCTAAAAAGTTTTCTTATCCACCCTCACTGGGGAAAGAACAAATTTGAGCTCTTTTATTTTGTGCTGAAAAGTCAAATATAATTCTGGATCTCTCGCATATGGAATGATAATTGTCACTTCCACAATATTCTTTTATTTTTAGATAGAAAAGTTCATTTTCTTTGCAGAATTCTAATTTCAGGCTCTTAAAAATGGTGTAAATTTCCCTTTAGGAGTGAACTCCTTAGAATTTGAAGGATTACCAGTGGAATACTACCTTCTTTGGGAATGCGGGATGAAACTGGATGAAATAATTTCATCTACTTCTAAAATAAAGACCCTGGGGGAGGGGGGAATTAGTTTTAACTGAAAACAAAAAAGTTTTTCTTTTGCATTTGGATAATTCAAAACGACCTTTGTTTTCAAAGTGCAAACTTGGCATGTTTGCAGTCATTCTTGAGGAATGTGTGCTGTGTTAAACCTTGGGAAAAAAGTACTGCTGGAAGTAACAGAAATCTCATACTAAGCATATGCAATGAACATGTAAGGATCCTTACAGTTGGAATATGCACTCTTCAAAACAGTCAGTTATGAGCATGTTTAAATAGTGAGACAATGAAACATACTATAGAGCTGTTGGCACTCTGGTAAATTTTAGATTTGGGTTTACAGGGAAGGTGAATGCTTGAGTCTATTCTTACATTCTTTATTCCC